TTGGAGAGATATATTCTGACATAGACGGTTGAAATGTTTCCTCCTGTTTTTCTTTCGCCAACAACGGGAATTGCTCCACTTGAGCAAAGTGGCATAAATTATGCGTCCTTTGGGAGACTCAAATCCGCCTTTCTATGATCATCTATTCTTTGCCCTGGTAGTGGACTTCGGGCCTCTGCTTACAGGGCTGAGCCGACAAAGCCCCTCTTCTATGGTTGCTTTGTTGGTCGAATCGATGAGACTTGACAATGGTAAAAAGCGCGTTAGTTTTCCACCAAATGAGTCAAGCTGTCAAAAAATTCTCACCGTTATTTATAGAACATGAAATGTAGGCCAACCTTACTCTCGTGCTCATTTTGCCCAAATTGAAAGGCAAATCATCGTAAATTTTGCAACAACGGTTATATTCTATCATTTGTTTCTTAGAGAGGCTCTAATTTATTGCGGATTTCGATCTAGTCAATCAACACATCCTTAATCACTCATTTCTGTCGACGTGAACGCTCGGCATGTTTGATGTCAATGAAGTGCATCAATCATCACTTAGAAGAATGTATAACACCAGAGGTACCCTAAAGTCAAGAATGGGAACACGTTTGTGACAGTACCTCCTGGCCTACATCCTCGAGATGTGCCCCTCCAACAGGCCTTGTGTTGAGCTAATAGCACAAGGTTTCCCCTGACCAACTGACTACTCCCGACTTTATTAATCAAATGCTTTTGTTCCTTCAATTAGAGCAGTATCTAGTGGTTAGATCTTTCACCGCAACAAAATAATTCCGTCGGTTAAACACCACGCCAGGAATGGTCCTTTTCCTTATAGAGAATAGCAAACTGACACAAGTGAACAGACGTCCGACGAGGCATTGCAATAAGCTATCATGGAAGCTAAGTAATAATTTAGGATTTTGTTCCATTAATTGCTCAACATGTAAAATGTTATGAACGCTTGTAAATTCCTTTCTCTTTTGCCTTTGTTATCACTTACACTAAAGCCTGGACAATTTCATTGCTCTTGTTCAGTGTTCCTCTAACCACTACCGAATGTTAACTACTTCGTGGCCATGGCTATGTAGGAATGAATGATTGGAGCGTCGGCATGAGTGATACGGCAGTGCTTCCCTCTCCGCCACATAATCCCCTCTTATAATCCGATTGTGCCCTTCTTGAGTGTTGCAAGCATGTACTGTCGAATAGGTCAAGAGAGATGACAATTTTCAGGCTCTAGATCACCCAAAGTGGTGAAAAACGCAATCGGATGCATTACCACCTCTTCAGTGGGAAAACACGCTCCCGTCAAACAAAACAGCAGGTGACCTTCAAGAATCAAAAGGAAAACTCATCTCGTCAAAATTAGACGGCTATACTGTACGCCACCTTTAAAACTAACTAATGTACGTAGATTCTGCCCCACCTCCTTCTTCAATTTGTAGGCTTTCATGGCTCTTAACTCTAAAAA